GCATGTTATTTGAAAAGGCTTTGTCGTCACTTTTCAAAAAAAAAACATACATTTAACTTTTTAAATGGAAATTTTAAAACATAAATTAACTTGAACACTGAGCTTTGCTTTCTGAAATAWATACATTTATAATCATTTCTTTKTTTCTATGAYTCCACTCTAACACTAGATGGGGCTGGTGTTCAGCTCTTAAATTAACTCCAGTTCAGAAAAGACAAAATAAATACATTTTGTTCAAGYAGAGATGGATTATTTTAATCCAATAATTATTTATCTGAGACAGTCTGAAAACATCTCAGACTTTTATCGTTATAAGGGCGTAAAACGTTGAACATTCTGAAAGAACTTTAACGAAACCCCGTGAAGCTTTTAAACTATAAAATAAAAAAATCACAGCAATAGTTTTGTGATTATCTGGATTAGGGTTGTACTACTTTGCAGTTACTTTTACATTGCTTTGTGGTTTCTTTCTTTTAGACGTCTAGATCTTTTTGAGCTTTTGTACTTTTCCTGTGATCCTTTTGTTTCTCTTCATTATTTCATCTCTTTGTGATCAATTGGCTTTTTATCTTGAACTTCTTTATGGTCATTACATGTCTGATTATTTTGGTTCTCTGAGGTCATTTTGTGTCCTTTTGTGTTTTAACCATTTTGTGTTTTATATGGTTTTGCAACAATTTGAGAACATTTATTATTTTGTGTGTCTCTTACRTCATGTGCCATTTTTAGTTGTGTGTCTCAGTGATTTTGTTTGATCATTTTTGCATCACTTTGAAAATGTTTTTGTCATTTTTTGGACAATTTTGGCTTTTTATTCTCCTTTGAAGCATTTGATTCAACATAATTTTGCATGAATATGTGGTTATCTCTTTGTGCTTGTTTGACTTTTCAAACATACATGTCAGCTGTCATTGGGAGTCTGATGTCACACTTGACTTCCTGGACATGTAGTCCTTTGAAGACCCATGTAGAAATCTTTCTTTGCTCACATATTAAGTATGTGCTTGCAGTAGCCAGTTTACTAAGATATTGTTGGGTAGGAGGAAAATTTTTGATTAGCAACATATTTGATTAATATTTGATGACAAAGAAGCTGCTGAGATTTCTAGAATCATAAAACAGCTAATTACTGAGGAAGTGTTACAGCAGCACTGAACACAAAMCAAATTTGAAGGTTGATATCTAAATGAAGAAAGCTGAGCTGTTTTATGTTGTTAGCTAAAGGTAATGAGTGCTGAGTGATACTTACAATAACAGCATTATAAGAGGGGTGCAACTGGACACAGAGGCCTCCACCCGTTTAGTGATTTGCGTTTTTCTTCACAAAAATGGCTTTACTCCTCTCAAACCAGCCCAGTGGCCACTGTTCAAAAGAATGGACCAACACAGAGGATCTACATCATCAGGCCAGAACTCTGCTGTTTACACTCATCTAGTAAAGGAAGCCATTTTTGTGAAGAAAAATTATCCATCRTTAAACAGGTGTGGAGGCCTCCTTGTCCGATTGACCCCTTCTTACRATGCTGTTATTGCAAGTATGACTCAGCTCCCTGTGAAYAATAGGTGATGATCAGGCCACTAATGATCTATTGTTAGGCTCATGGTTCTCCTTTGTATGTGAACAGACAGTATTGATATTCATTAAACCTGTTTATCCAACATGTGGAGGCAGTGCTTATAAGACTGAGTTCATCTGAAACTCCTGACTGAAGAAGTCTCTTGAAGGAGAGACGAAACGGTTCATTAAAAAGAACCCGTCCAGAGGACWTTTTTTTAAGTTAGTGTCAATACTACCAAGTGTTTCAACTCTCTTTCTCTCTCTCTCTCTTACAATAAAATAAATATTCAGTACCGTATTTTAGGAAACAGTAATTTGCTTTCAACAGAAGAATCAGGACACATTTGGCAGCCAGTTGCTCTACAATATAGTAGGCCTTCCACACTGTAAAAAATGAAATGTTGGATTTACTTAACCATGTTATGTTACCTGGTTCCACTTAACTGAGTTGAGTAAATTCAAAGCAGTATACCAGTTTTTTAGCCAAAGAACATGAGTATGTTGTTTTGAATTTACTCAACTCAGTTAAGTGGAACCAGGTAACATAACATGGTTAAGTAAATCCAACATTTCATTTTTAGAGTGCAGTATTTCATCAAGTTTTCTTTATTTATTCCATAGTACCAATTTAAATCAAATTAAATCTTTAGTGAAAKCTTGTTTTGACATTTGATGTTTAATGTAAAAAGGAGGGACTGCAGGTGAAAAATAGCCTTCTGGCTAATTCTGGTTTATTTACAGAAATGTTATTAATATGCACTGTTCCTGTAATAA